TCTGACCGAAACTCCCGCAATGATTCTTCCTCCTCTGAATAATTTAGCGTACACTAATCAGCCTCAGCGTGCTGACTTCATCGTAAGTTAGTGACGACGTCGGAAGGATCGCTTTACTCTGATGGCAAAAGAGCAAAGTCAACTAATTGGAAAGCTCGAAAAGCAATTAACCTAAGAGCTCAAAGATAAACATTACTTCGATAATTATCTCTATAGAATCGTACCGAACGCCTGACCAGTCCAATACGATTACATAATCGATTATGTATTCGATAAAATACAAACATACGTATATCCATACGATCTACTAGTCGTTATCTATTCATGAGTTCACTGTCGAGTGAATTCTAACGATTTTTAAAATTACAATATAACGTAAAACTAACGTAATATTACGGAACCTAAAACTTAGGTATCTAAGATAAGAAAGATTTAACAATGAATTCATATCATTAACATAATCATAAGTTTATAATTACATATTATACCCAAAGTCTTGAAATCAACTGCATTATCTAATTCCAAGGATAAAAATATATAGTTAAATTAAAAGAACCATTCACGATAAAATGAGGAAAATTGAGACAGAGATAAAACTAAAGAAAATTTATTCATTTTTTTCATTTAATTAATTTTGTTTCGTTTCCTGTTAAGCACAATATCAAATAAAGATTATTTTTTATTTCAAATATACTTACTTTTTACTTCCAAAATACTATAGATATTTCTCTTGAAATTAATTTATGTTTGCAGTTTTTTCCTTTATATAATTTTGCAATATGTGAATTTTGTATAAGTTTATCGCGCTTAGTTCTATCATACAATTACCATAAAAACGTATAAAGAATTTTGAAATATTTTAATAATCAAATATCTAGTTTTTTACTATTCAACCATATAACTAAAAGTAACGAAACTGAATCAATGATAATGATTATTTTATATTCAAAAGAATCCTTTAAAAAAACAAAATTTTTAACTTGACAGTATATCAATTATAACTGCTTCTATTACTTTCAATCCGATTGAATTTTAACAGAATTTATTTCACATACATATTGTCAATCCGTTTATAAGATATACGGTTTATATATCATCAATTTTATATTATTATATAAAATTTTATATTATCATATAAAATCAATGATAACTTCAAAATTAATATTGTTGTCAACAATCTTATAATAAAAATGCAATTAACGCAGACAAACCCATCTTATCGATTAGATAAGAGAATAAAAGGAAATAAATTTTTTAAATTGAACATAATTTTTTACAACATATTGTATTTAACATGATATTTAAGAAAGATCAAAGACGAAGAAGAATAGGCACGAAAAGAAAAGAGAAAACGTGAGAGATAGGAAAAAAGACGAAAAAATCGATATGCATGCACGGCAGGTGCGATCGTCGATCATCGAACGCGTCGTATGGCAATAAAAACCGTCAGTCGTCGTAAAAAAGCCTCGATCAGATTTTCACGCGGGGTTTCGTGGATCGAGATCGAAAAGATGTTGAGAAAAGAGAGAAGAGGATATCTCAGAGATTCGGCATTTCGAATCCACGAGGAGTCTCGAGTTATTGAAACGAGTGTCAGAGGTCGAAAGTCTGTCTGTCTTTCTCCTTTCCTCTTTCCTCATCCCTCTTCCTTCTCCTTCTCCTCTCAATAATTCCAAGAAAGTATCGACCACGTGTTCAAAAAGAGTCGCACACGTGCTCTCGATCGATGACAAGACAGGACCTCATGTGAGTACGTGACAGGTTTCATGACAAATGAAATCTTTCTTGATGACTCTTAATTGCATTTAATTTTGAAATTATAAAACATATTTTAATGTTTATCATTAAACATATAATGTTTGTTATTAATTTAACTCTCTTTTAAATTTTATTTATGTGTATACAAAAAAAGATTTCATATCATCATTGACAATGTTTAAACTAAGCAATGAAACAGAAACGTTGGTTCTAATTTTATTAGAAAAACATTTAATTGTTGTCCAAAAAAAAAACTGAAACGTACACATATCTGGACAAAGTGCTAAAAGTATAAAACGAAAAATTAGCATTTGGGTTGCCATCCACATATGTGTACTTACGTAACTCATGAAAAGGTTAATGTATAATGTAACATATGTGCAACAATTTAGTTTTTCATTAAATTTCATAACAAAATTTATACTAATATCATTCGTTCGTTAGTATGTTTATTCGTTAGTATATTTATTTAATAACTAATAAATATATTATGTTATTTTTAGCAATTTAAAGAAAATAGATCATGCATTAAAAAATTAATGATTGTTCAATATTCATTCATGTAAATATATTCATTCCTGATGCATTTTTTTTATAGACGGAACGCATGAAGACCTGCGGTATTCTAAACTAAATTTATGTGTTTCCATAAACATTAATCGTGAATATCTATTCAACAATTTCTGTACTATAATTAATCTTGTAATGAGATGCTTATTTTTAAGATCTTTGTACAATGCAACCTGTCTAATTTAAGATATAACATAAGAGCATACAATGACCAAGGTGAAATTCTATGCTGACGCAATGTCGATATATCTTAACGTTGCTTTTTTTAATAAGCATGACTTGCACAATTGTATGAAAAAAATGCAGTTAAATATCTATTTATATAAAAGACTAAAAGATTTTATGTTTTTCGAAATTAGCTTAGAATTGTTTCGATTTGTAAATATTGATTACGGATTAACAATACATAGTTTATTAATATAATTATTTTTATAATTGTGAAAAATCAGTTTTTTTACAATTCAACGACTTAAACTTAATAATCAACAGTTTATTATAGTAACAAATACTCTTTCTTCACACACACTCTAACATCATTCTATATACTTTATCGTGCAATCATTATTATATTAAATAATTATACACTATTATTTGTGAAAAATAATTGTAAAAATAATTATTGACTTAATATCCACTCATTAAATTTGATTATTCTCTTATCCAGTGAAAAAAAAGATTTTACAACTTTAAATTTATAAATACCTTCAGATTTTTTTTTTCTTTTTTTTTTTATTGACTTTAAGTAATTCTACTTCCATGGAATTATAAATAAATTTATTAAAATTATATCGTAGCGTGTTAAATAATGTAACGTATTATATTGGATTATTGAATTTGTACCTACATGTAATACGACGTGTATGATCGACGTTATAAGTTAATATTATATCAATTATTAAATTTGTTTACACATTTAAGGGGGTATATTTTTTTAATACTAATATCAGTATGAAACAAATCTAAAGTTAATGGATTTTCATGCTCTGATAACTGTCATATATGACGTTTGCTGTAGTTTGATATCTCTTGTTTAACTATGAGTATTCCCAAATCGTTATGTATTATATCATTGTAAACGTACCATAGGACACTATATACATTGCGAAGGATTCTCGATTTGAAATCTTGAGATCTATGTATATAAAATTTCTGTATTCGAATTGCAGACCATAACTCACAGTTAGTAATTCGTTTTGTAATTTTAATTTAAAATATCTTCCTATCAGCCAGTACAGCTGATTTTTACCTTTTATTTAAAGCCGAACAGATTTCGTTTGTATACGTTTTTCCCCACTTTAATCTTTTGTTTAAAATCATATTGAGTTATTTAACTGAGTATATGAGTCCTTTTGTAGAATAACTTATTTACTTATTTAGTTATTTATTTATAGTGGAGTTACTATTTTTTCGTATGATAAAAATCACACATGGTTTAGTTTATTTTTATTTATTCCAATTTTTAAGTCATGTAAATATCTCATGTAAAGATGTTCTTTCAAGTTTTTGATAGCTTTTAGTCTTCATAAGAGGCAAAAATTGCCCAATCGTCACGCAAATAGCTATAGTTATTTTTGTAAAAATTGATATATCTGCAGTATAAATAAGATACAAGACATATACAAGCATGCTTCCCTGTTGGATTCCAGAATTGATTAGATAGGCTAATATAATTATTTCTTGAAATTGCAATATCTTATTTTCTTTTTAATAAAATTAATTTAGAGATCAAAGGAACATAGATCGTAAATGTCCAGTAAACGACGCGAAACTACTCAAACGTTAATTAATTGATTTCGTTTAGCACGACCACGATTTCTTTATACTCGATATTTCAAGAAGGAAATTTATAGCTGAACGTGATACGTAATATCACCGTTACGAAGATATTGAACCATGCGATGTCCTACAGGAAAACTTCCATTGATCGTCTCTACGTCAAAGCCATTCGAAAAATCTTTTTACCTGCGTACTTACACCGAAATGAAAAATTGACGGGAACGATTGTTCACGATGTCTAAGGATCATTAATTTCCCGTCAGAAACATCAATAAGAAAAATGGTTTGATTCTTTATCTTCTGTGTTATTATACACGTCAAAAGAAAATAAAATTATCAGATAGTCGAACATTTGCTAATCTAACCTTCAATTGTCTAATCTAATCATAAAACTTATTTATTGTTAAACGTGTATTATATGTATATTACATGGTCAGAGTACACGCACGCACACGCACGCACACACATACACACACATAAACACACATATATACATATATATACATATATATATATATACTATAGTTCGTGTGCGTGCGTGTGTGTGTGTGGGTGTGCACGTGTGTGTTATCTATGTCTACTCTTCTTTCTCTATATAGCTATTATAAATATATAATATACGAATGTTTATTTACTAAGTATAAATACAGTACACGTACGATACACATAAATAAAAAAAAACCCATTTCGTATGGGAAATCAATCTTGTTGATCAATAGATGAATTTCAATGACAAAGTGCAAAAGGAAATATACAACGCGATTACGCCATTGATAATAGCAAAAAAAAACAAGAAATACAAAGATCAATTAGCTTTAGAATCGATGCCAACAAGAACTCTATTCGCCCTGACTAATTCTAGATTGATCGAATTGATCGATTTGTTTTCTACTTACTTAGTATGTCGAATTGTGGTAACCATTTGCTGATAAACACGTTGTCAGGTTTCTCAGGGAAATCATCAGTTTCCCATTTCCAGAGTACCTTTCTTGGTATAGAACCGAGGACCTTGACAATAGCCTGAAGTTTAGCTGGTGGCATCGATGATGTTTTGATCATAGATCCAAGGCAAAAATACAATACACCTTCCTTTGCCTCATCAAGAAACTTAGCAATGTCTGGTGGTAATGGCTTCGTTGAAGATGGCAAATGAACTCCACCAATTTCAATGACGTTCGGAAGTAATGGTCTAGAACCATGGAGAGACCAATGTGTGTTCACCAATAAAATCGATTGCTTTTTGGCAATATCTTTAAATTTTGGCAAATCGGATCCAAAAAGTTTTTCAGCTGGGACACGATGATACCAATCGTTCCAGAAATCAAATAGAATATTTTGTATATGGATCCATAGTAGGTTTGCAATTCTATCGAAAAAACTCATTGGTTTTTTTCTATGTCCAAATACGGAAGGTATGTTAGCTTCGTCATCGGGATTTCCAATATGATTATTCGTCCAGGACATGATCTGGCAAGTTGTTATTCCCACGAAAGGTATCTTGTACTTATATACTAAACTCAAAAAACAATCGGTGTTGAAATTCTCCAAGAAAATTAAGTCGAATTTCTCATTCGATCGAAGAAGTTCGAGAACCTTTGGATTGCTCAACCCATTGTCACAGCTAATTTGACCACGATTTTTAAGCAAATTTAATTCCTTTAACAAAGTAATGATCGGTAAGTGACGTATCTTGCTTAGATTGACCGAATCCTCGGAAACTATATAATTCTCATCAATTTGACTGATATCCTTATAATTAGGCAATGGTTCCTTTGCTTTGCTACTGTTCGTTCTTGGGAAATACGAGATCACTGTTAGTTTGTGTCCACGTCTGGCCAATTCTTCTAATATAGGTTGAATAACGAAAAAATGACTTTTTCCGGGATGTGGGAATATCCCGAGAATGTTTAATTTTCTGTCGGGCGATTTAATAATAAATTCACTTTTCGTCTCGAAGCAAATGAAACAGGACACAATGAAAAAATAAAACCACAAATTAATCCACCGTAAATACATTTTTGTAGAACTCTTAAGCAAACCGTCCGCACATACATTCGACTTAGTACTGAGATCTATCCAACCTCTACCAGATAATATATAGATACACAGTATTGTATAACTATTATTCGAAAGACAAAATTTTAAAAGGCCATTCACATCTATTTAATCAATCATGCTTCCGATGATATTACAAATTAAATGTAATTTACTATTATATGTTTATCAATTTCTTGGAAACGTTTGGTTATATCTGACTTTAATTAAGAAATTTACTAATCAATCAAAATACATCTGAATAATTTTATTCCCGTACATATATTTTTTTTATATTATTAATTTAAAAATATGAAGAATTGTTTAAAAAAAATAGTTCCTAAGGAAATATCACTTACAATGATAAGATAAGAGTATTATAGAAAAATTAAATAAAAAAAAAAAAAATACAAAAAAAAATTAAATTGAAAAATGTATGCCCCTTTATTTTACGTACCTGGCAATTTGTTCGTTCCTCCTCTTCTCGAATTGGAACAAACTAGATTGGTTATTCTCGGCCGTTGATCTGTTTATCTCATTCATTTTCTCTCTCTCTTCCCCCTCTCTTTCTCATTCTTTCTCTCTTTTCCTCCTTCTCACTTCGCTACTTGAATTTCGCTACGCTACGAGCGATATAAACATGAACGAAGCCGATTTCAATGAAATCTTTTACACGCTAATGGAGGCCTCGGGTGTATTTCTCGTTTCACAAGCGGCTCATAACCTATCAGTAGTGCGTATAGTGTAAATCGGACTCGAAAACCGTGAAGAAGAGCTTCAAGCTAAATCTCGAACACGAAACGAACTCTCATTAAGATGAAAATTACGCTTCCTTGATGCAAAACTTCGTGAGTGGCTGGATAGTCTGAGTGAGCGAGCGATTTTGATGTTCAGTGAGAAGAAAACTAATATTACAGAGAATAAGTAATTTAGAAATTTTCACATAAAGTTACGACAACGTTAAACTGGCTTAATATCTCGTACGATATTACGCTCTTTTTTTTAAATTATAAGAATATGAAATTCATAAAATAAAACTATTGTTTTGAAGGTGGTTATTTGTATATAAGTCCACGTGAGAATAAAATAATTGCGAGTTGCTCTCAACGGTTTGTATTTCTTGTTAATGAAACTTCCGTTTGAGAGTAACTATCTGTGAGTGATTAGCTTTCATGCAATGCATTCAGAGCATACTATCAAATAGAGAAAAAGAAATGTCACTATTGGACAGCTCTTTTAAAGATAGAAATCAATTTTGTATTCTGATAATAGTTATCGGAAAATAAAATGTAAGATAAAATTGTAGGAAATAAGAGACTTTCGAATTAATAACAATATATGAAGTAAAAAATTCAATATTTTTGAATATAGAGATTATCAAATGAATGTAAAGGTTATTTCTCTCTTATTCTAAAACAAACAGAGCTGAGAAACGTAAATATAATACTTATTTAGATGGGAATATAGACGAATCTCCAATAAATACAGCTCTAAGCATTCTGTCTCTCGGCGAGCGTGTTAGTGATTATTTGAAAGTAAAAATTCTTGAAATTGTTCTCAAATGGATAAAAATGTCAGAGTACTTTCGAAAGTAATTTTCGTAAGAAACTCTCAAGTGGATCACTACTTTTAATGTTCTCTGAAACGATTAATCACCCGGCAAACCAGTTAGAAAAATTAAGAAAAAAGGGAAAGATAAAAATAAAAAGAAAGTAAAAAAGATGAAGAAAAGTGAAAAGAAAGGAATATTTGATTGGTTAGAGATGTATTCGTATTATTCGACTAGATTATATTTAAACAATTTCATATGCGATTCAATGCACAATATGACTGTACAAAGTTATCATTATAACATAAATATTTCAAAAGTAAACTTAAGACAAATATTTGGTCTACAAGTTTACCTTTTAAGTTTTTCTCCGGTTTAGGATATTCCAAAAAATTGAATATTCATAGAGATTGTCTATAACACAAATAAGCAATAGTTAAGGATTCTTCATCTTGTCTACGAAATCTATTAAATAAACACCCAATGTATTCTTAAAGACAGGCATTTCGTATAACAATAAAAAATAATAGATTCAACAAATCTTTATGAATCAGGCATTTAAAAATCTTTGATAGATTCTTTTTTCCTCGATTTTCCTTTTACGTTCTTCTTCTTATTTTATTAACCGGATAATATCCAATGAGAAAATATAATTAAACAAAAGCCATTTATTTCGTATTGAAATGAAATAGAATATTGGACATGATTGTATTTCTTAGCAGGTAGAGCAGCAATAACCACAGAAACGACGATACCAACGTTCTCGAATACTCCCAAGGGTTAACAATGTCTTTAATGACGTAACATAATTACGAGGAAGCTTTCCCTCACGATGTACGTCACCGGCAAACGCGGGAGCTTAATTGTAAAGCCTGGAAGATCGAGGCTAAGCGGCTAAACGAGCACGATCGTCCTTGACGAAGGACTCTAAGGTAAAGCTCCTAATCTGAACTTTTCCTTCTCTTTCTCTTCAAGCTGCTTCTTTACGTCGTCTCATCGATATAGAAACATCAAGAGATAAACCACAATGTCATCCCGCGCTACCATTAGAGAGTAATCGCTTTAGAAACAGCTTCTCCTTTCTACTTTATCATTCTCTTGCTAGATTTACTCAAATCCCTTTTCGAAAGACCTATTTAACACTTATGATTATGTATTCGTATAAAATGACATATTATATGAAACATCATATGAAATATTATTATATTTAGACATATTTAACAATCACAATTATATCGTACTCGTGTAAAGTGAAATTAAAATAAACGAATGCTATTAATATTTACGTGCATGAAATTCTCGCATGTAGATTACGCATTCTCAGAAAGTTTCAAACAAATGAGTTGCCATGATCACCTCGTTATTTGTATGAAATAGCGAAGTGGCTCTTTAAAGAGAGACAGAAAAAGAAAGAGAACGAGAGAGAAAGAAAGAAAGAGAAAAAAAGGTACAATATAATATGCAAATCATCTAAAAAGATCAATAAAACAGGTAAAATAGATTAATCGAACATTTTCGATCGTGCAAAGCAATTATGCTAAGCTTTTATTAAAAGTAGCAACGTAAAATAAATAAATAATAAAATTAAGAGAACGTTTTAAAGACCCGTTTAACCTACTGAGAATAAAACAAGGTGTATGTTATACTTCAACATGATTTTTTTCTTTTTCTTAAATTAATATTGTATTGTTTTACAAAAGAAAGAAAATACAGAAATCTAGAAAGAAAGTAATTCGTGCAATTTTGCGTTTAACGAAGAAAAACTCGCAGAAACGCAATTATGCGTCTAAGAAAAGAGCTTCTGGGAAGTCGACAAGAGGACAAATAAAAGCGAGATTCCTTCAAGTGTTACCTTCTTGAACTTTCATACTTAGGAACCTTTTGTTTAGGAAGGATAGCTTGAAGGGTGGCTTAGATGGTTCGAAAATAAAAAAAATTGCTGATCTTGAATGAACCAATGTTGCCAATGGGTCGTAGATAATTGCTTAGACTCCATCATTTTCTATTTTGTTTTCCTTTTTTCTTCTCTCTCTCGCTCTCTCTCTCTCTCTCTCTCTCTCTCTCTCTCTCTCTCTCTCTCTCCCTATCGAATTTCCCATGAGTAAGAGAAAGGGGAAATACCAGCGTTCACTCACACATCTTTAACGTGTTTCCTCGCATACGTTACCGCAAACATAACAGTCTGTAGATGTAGAGCTAGCTCACGTTGTTTAATTCATGAATCGGTGCTAGAATGCAACGTAGAAAGATCGCCTACGAATTAGTTGGAAGGAAGAAGCCCAAAGGACCGAAGAGCCCCTGATATGAAACTCGACGATAGAAAATGAAGATATACTTCTCTTTTGCCATGGCCGCAAAAATCTTCACGAGAGATTTATGTGCAGACACTAAGAAAGAAACTTCATCGTTCCGAGGGAAAAACGAATGCGATATTTGCACGTAAATATCTGTGAAATTGACGTAGTCGACTGTGCCTGACGAAAGTTTCGTGAAATCAAACTTTTTCGATAGAATTTTGCATCCGTTTATTTATTATTTTTCTTTTTTTATCTTTTTCTATTTCCTTTTTCGACAATATCATCAGACTACGGATGTTTATGGACTTAAAATATGTTGAAATATGCAAATAACATATTGAAATATGAAAATATAATATGTGAACATATGCATAAATATAACAATATATATATATGCAAAAATTTGTGAAATATTATGAATATTTTGAAACTGTGCAATAATTAAATTATAATTATAATTATAATTTAAATCACAATAAACTACAAGCACTTTTTTATATTAGTTGTAGATAATTAATAACGTTTATTAGATAAGATTAATTTGTATTAAAAAATGATCATTCAATATTATCTACACGACGTGATCGGAGAATATTTGAATCTAATGCAATAACGAGATCTTTTATTTCCACTGATTTCTCAACAATTTTGCTTCTTAAAATTTTAGCGATTTGTAATATATTGTAGTTTTATATCCAGAATTTATCTTCAAAACTGCATTCTATTTCGAAATAATTATCTCTCTAAGACTTATAGGTATAGTTCTTAAATTTCATTAAAAAAATAATTGAATAAAATTAGTTAACATCATTCCACTCGTCTCTAACATTTTCATATTATTTGATAATATTTAATAACATATAAGTTTTTATGAATACTAAATTTTGTAACTGTTCATGTTGAAATAAATCTTGTGTTAATGTAAAAATACAAATCAAATAAATTTAAATGCCGCATTACAAATATTAATGTTACAATAATTCGCTGTTTTGAATTGTACTGAAGTATATATACCAAAATATTATCGTAGGCTTGTAAGCTCAAGAACATCAGAGTTGCATTTGTAGTCATTTCATGGAGAATTACTTGGTACTGTATACAATGTTTGTGTATATTACAGAATGTTATAAGTCTGAGTAAATTCACGAAGTTTTGATTTCTCTTGCGGCAAATTGCAAAATTGAAAATGCAATAAA